ATATTATTACATTTATGTTGCAACAGTTATAAACATTTAAAAGTAGAGCTCGATGTGTCCCAGTATCGTTTTGACGGCAAATGCTGATAAGATGGACTGTTCTACCCTAAAATTTTGGATAGGGCTGCGTATCGAATAGGCACTTTTGAATGAGCAAAGCCTTAGAGAAGAGAGAAATTTACTAATATATTATGTAACCAGGGCGGCTGAAAAGTTCGTGGGCTAGGGTACTTAACGATGAGTAATTACTCATGTCACTAGTTGCAACACTCAGTAGTATTATAAAAGCAATCACTAATTAAGTTTCCACTCATAGTTCAATTATTTATTTAACAACAAACATCACCATGTCAGCCGAATCTGGAAATTCTCGGAATTTCGAACACCGCGCCGTGATAAAATTCCTCGTTAAGAAATGAAATACACCGAAAGACTTTTTAAGAGATCACATCGGTTCTTCAGTATTCTGCGCCTTCATACACGATGGTGAAAAATGGGCCCGCATATTTCAACAAGGACGAGAGAGCTGTGAAGACGACCCTCGCCCGGGCCCTGTCACGGTACTGACCGAAGAAAACGACCGAAAACTCGCATAAATCGTTCTGGCCGACCAAAGAATTAAATTGTGGCAGATTGCTGAAGAACTGGAGATTAGCAAAGAAAGAGTTGTATAAATTTTACATGAACATTTAAATATGAGAAAAATTAGCGCGCGCTGGGTACCGAAAATGCTCACACCGCTCAACAAGCAACATCGACTCGCAAGTTGCAAAGGTTTTTTTGACCTAGTCGGCGATAATTAGGAAGATATTTGGCAACGGATAGTCACCGTAGATGATACATGGATTCGCCAATATGATCCGGAGTCCAAACAAGAGTCCATGCAATGGATAAAAAAAGGAGAAAAGCCGCCGATGAAATTTTAGCTGCAAAAGTCGGCGTCAAATGCTATTGGTGACTGTTTTCTGGAATAGCGAGGGAATTTTACTTATCGACTTTGCTGGCGATATTACGCTAATTTATTCACTCAGGTTCGCAAGGCAATTGTACAGAAAAGACTCGTATAAAACAAAGTCGCTTTCCACCGTTTGTACGCTTAGATCTTTTAAACTACGCAACGGATTTTGATGAGGTTTTTATCAATAGACATAATGATTCAAGTGGAAGGTTTATATGTGTAATACATGCATATTATATATTATATAATTCTTCTGCCCGTGTGTATATTAGTGAACTCCTCCTAAACGGCTGCAGCGGTTTTGATGAAATTTTGAGTGTATGTGGAATAAGTTGATTAGAGAATGGTTTGGATTCACTATTGGATCCAGTAGGTGGCGTTGTTTTTGAGATCCAGAAATCAACCGTGTAAAGCCGGAGCAGACTATACATATAAATAAAATTGAAGAGTCTGCCTGTAATATCGCGATAACTGGGTCCTATTATGCTCAGCGCTTTATTTGCATGATGTTAAAACATGAATATCTCATTTTTTACAGTGGTAGAGCCACGCGGCAGCTTTTGCTGTCGCACGGATGGGCCGGCTCGAACCGGGGTAGTACCACGACCTCACAGAAAACCAGCGTGAAGTAGAGGTTTACCTCTGCGTTTCGCTTGGTGAGTGCAGGTGGCCGGAGGCCCTTTTTACTGGAAATGAGGCATTCCATCATAGTCCTCACGGGTGACAACGCATCTACATTTTGATTTGTAACAGAGGATAGATGTAGATGTCTATGGGCCGCAGCAACCACTTACCATCAGGTGGACTGTGTGCTCGTTTGTCACCCTTATCCTATAAAAAAAAAAAATTTTCAGCCCGAACAGAAATACAGACATAATCTTTAATTCATTAATCTTTTAAACGGATCAACCAATTTTTTTTTGTTTCACAAAAAAAAATCACAAAAAACAAAACAGAACAATCTCGAAAGTGATCTAGGCTATGCTTTATGCGAAAACATGCACTATTTTTTGTGAAATATTAAAATATTAAATAAATGTTTTTTTTCACGCCTCCAAATCCGTCATCACGATCCCTTCTAAAGACATTATAATCACTAATGTGAAAGTGACTACCTGGGTCTAACCAAGCTTCGCTTATAATAGCAATATGTATCTTTTCTTGATTTAATAGCGCTTCCAACTCTGTACATTTAGGTCGAATGCTTTGCGCATTTCATTGTAGCACATTTATATGGGATTGTGAGTTGTTGTTGTCCATAACTGTTTTATGAAATTGCAAAAAGGCTGACCTGCAATAAACTGAAACACTAATGATATTAACGCCTCCAATATTATACTTCCACAACGTTTTATCTTGTCTTCCCATGAACTGCTGTCCTCTTCAAATATCTTTTATTTTAGTTTTTTAAACAATAATTTCCAAGACACTAGTTCTTTATATTTCGATCGACTCTCATCACTTAGTTTTTCTTCCGCTCTGCTTTCTTCCTCACTAACTTCAGTTACAACTTCAGGTATACTTCCTTGCTGTTCTTTGAGAGACTTCCTCCTATTTCTACGTTTCTCTGTCTTCGAACTTTTCCTCGTTTTTTCCGGGGTTGCTTTCGTAACACTGGCGTAGGAATGCACATCACTAGACCCAGACATCTGTTTATCTTGTTGCAATTATTCATTTTCAGATGTAGGTTGTGTTAATATAGAGGTTAGTGTAAGGTCAATAATTGAGTCTCTGTGTACACCATGTGTAGTAGTTTCAAAAGTGGGCGTAGTGCCCTGATTGCAAACTTCTAGGTCATTAGTATGTATAAAATTGGCTATTGTGTTCCCTCTTTTGTTATTTAATTTGGAGTTCCAGAGGCAGTGCCAGCCGTTGAAGTCACCTCCAATTATGTGACGCGCATCTTTAGTGTTCTCTAGAAATAGTTTGAGTTGATTCATGGTATCATATATATCGCTACGTGGTTCTATATATACACTAAGGAGGTAGATATGTTTGCCAGCCTTGTTTATTTGTACTATGGAACAGTTAGAGTTGGAGTATTCTGAGATGCCAAGAGTGCTAAATGAATTTTCTTTTATTAATATGCAAGCTTTAACAGGTCTATTTGATGGGAATTTTTCATGTTGGGTGGTCGAGGCAACGGTGGCACATATAGCATAAGGGCTTTTCTGAAACACAAACAAAGACAGTTAAATTCTGCCATGAATTCTCTAATTCGTTTCTCCTTCAAGAAAAAAGGACAAACTTTAGCCATTGCCATGTGTTTCCCATACAGTTATTGCATTTGAAAGTTGTCGTTTCACAGTTAGGATGACTTTTTGTACTTTTGGGACAGATTACTTTTAGAGAAGGACACATTTTAATCGAGTGACCAAATCGCCAGCAACGGGAGCATTGTGTTACTGGGTAAGTGTAAGGACTCACTTTCACCCTAGTGTCATAGATGTAAACATATGACGGTAATGATGGCCCTTTAAAACATATACTTACAGATTCGCTCAGTTCCCAATGACCGTCGTAAGTGTTCTTTCGCTTTTAACCGCTAAAATCAAAGTTTCGCTGTTGACCCCATGACCCCATATGATTGATTAATTTCTAAAGTTTTTTGGCATTTAAAACCATTCTCGTTAAATCTCTTGCACTGTATAAAAGACTCAGCACTTTCTTCGCTATTAAAGTGAATCAATACCTTAAATGTATTTATGTATTTAATTTTCATGACGTTTTTTATACTTTCTGCTTTTAACATTTTTGCCAATCCGATCTGTTTAGGGAGTTTTACTGTACCATGTCAAACACACCTCAATTTTATCCTCCGGAATTCTCGTACACACACTATTCTCTATGCGTATATTATGTCTAATCGCCCTTCTCCTCTTAGAGGGTCTCTTTAAAAACATGTCATTCCTATCTTCAGTATTACACATCTGTTGAATATCCTCCATGCTCATTGTAATCTCATTTTCACTGTTTTCAGTAAACACACTATTTTCACATCCACCTCTCTTTGCATATAATTCAACATAGCGTTACTAATACCATAATTAAATGATCTCACTGTTAACATGTTCAACAAAAGCGCACTGACGTGCGAAGCGCGTTGCTAAAAAAATTAATTAAAATTTTCTTGAGAAAATTTATCAAACCTGTGTGACAGCCAATCACCATAATAAATGTTATTGATGATATCTTTTAAGCTTTAACAATTTACCTTCTATTTCTTAGTTTTGATGCAAAATTTATTTTTACATTAACACCATTTTACAACAAAACTATCAGTGTTAAAGGACAATATTATAGATCTTTTTTACCTAAAATTAATAGATACTCAATTTTTTTAGTCTTTTCCCATACCTCCTATAGTTTACTTGCCCAAAGACCACGATTACTATATATCTGCAAGGTTTTCTTGTTTAATTTGTATATTTGGACTAAATCGCGGGTAAAAGCTAGTAAATAATAACATTTTATAAATAAATTAATAAATGTAACATTTAGCTTTAAAAGAAAAATCACGTTAAGTACCTACTACAAAAGAAATTCGTCTGTCATAAATCAAAAGTGGGATATATTGCAAAATACTGCCAGAGCAAAGGTGTGAGTCCAACATGCACCTTCGCTTTGGGTTTGGCTATTATGTTTTCCGTGACTTTGGTAAATCCATATAAATTCATCTTAGAGATCTAATTAAAAAATTCGGTCAGTAAGAACTAACAAATTAATGTAGACCATAGTAGCATTCATATCTTATTAATTATTAAATAATTAATTAATTAAAAAGTTACTATCTTTTTTTCGTTACATAATATCTTAAATCTTTAGCTATTTTTTACACCACCTAGAAACTTTTAACTTGCTAAATAAAAACACAAAGGGAAACAATACAGTTTTCGCTTACAAACAAAAAGCAATTTGAATGCCACTAAAATGTAAGATAACTTCAGAATATTTCTTATTAAAATATTCTCAATCGTAGCATTTAGGACAATGAATAAAAACTAATCCTTTTTGTTAGATAACAGAAATAAAAACAACTAACCGTTTAGAGACCGGCGTCCTCTTTGAGAGAAGAGTGTACTCGTAGAGATTAGAACTCGATGGATGGGGATGAAAGGCCGGAGTTGGTGGGTAATAAGCTTCATCTTCTTTATAATTATTATTTACTAATACTGATTTTAACGGCAATAATTCGACATTGTCGTCGGCACGTTGCTCTCGTGGCGAACTCATAGCGCGGATGACATCGTGCGTGATCGCCGGCTGCTTGCAGCCTACTGAAAGATGTGTCCTTGAAAATGCTGCAGCGTAGGGTCGGGACTTAGATGAAGCAAATTCTTTAAATAGTGATTTTATTTTATTTTTCAAACCTATTCACTATAACTTAACCTTACAAAATAAAATCATTCTTAAGTTAGAAACTACTTTTGTGCTATTAAATTTTAGCAGGCGCTCAGATATTTTATTATAAAATAATATAATGTACATCTATTATTGACAAGTCCTATTTCTTCTATTTCAGCAAAACTTTTTAAACGTCTTAAAAAGAGTTCGAATGTAGAAGTATTTAATTAAGTAAAATTGTCAGCTAATGATCGAGTCTGACGCAATGCAATTTTTAAAATGTACTTCTTCACATCCCTAGACCTACGTTGCCGTACCAGGCGACACAGAGGTGAGCTCCAGGCTCGCATGCGCACTAAGACTAGCTTTTTGTCAGTTAAATAAGAGCTTCCTTTAAATTATGTCTAGTTTTTCACTATGCACATATTTTGAAGCGACATAAGTTACATAAGTAACTTATATAAAACTAAATTAACTTTCTACGATGATTTTAACGCGCAACGCAACGACGTCGCGTCTTTGATAGCCTACTAAAAGTCCCACTGTTGAACATAAACATTTTTTTTAGAATAGGTAACGGTTACAAACGAGGCCATACACATCTACATCTATTAAGAATGAAAATACAGATGCATTGTCACCCTTGAGGACTACGAACTACGATGGAATGCCTCGTTTCCAGTAAAAAAGTTCTCCGGTTCTCTACACTCACGATACGAAACACAGCAGTGTTAAGCTGCTATTTTACGCTGGTATTCTGTGAGAGCGTGGTCGTTCCCCGGTCGAGCCGACCCATTCGTGGTACAACTATACTATTAATATAACTGCAGCATGGCTCTACCACTTATTATACCTACCTCTCCACGAATTGCTTCATAGAGACGATTTTGACATAATTGCCACATTTGGCAGGCGGATTGGCAACGGCAGTTGTTATCATTTTCATTTGCGGTCAGAAAGATACCACTGCCAACCTCCTGTTTCAGTTCATTCGATCGCCTCTTACGACATCCACAGGATGATAGTGGGTCGTGGTAGTGGATATTCTTACGCTGACAATATATCGCGCCAGTGCTCGGAAAATATTGTTATATAACTCCATTCAGTGTATCAGACCCGTATGGGAAACCTCGGTTCTATCCAATATATGTGCAAAAAACATTTCTAATTTTTGATGTTTTGGTCTAGTTTAATCAATTGTGCTTGTAGTCTTTCTTTGCCACTGCATGCTATAAAAATTTTTTTATAGGATGAGGGTGACAAACGAGCACACAGTCCACCTGATGGTAAGTGGTTGCTGCGGCCCATAGACATCTACATCTATCCTGTATTACAAATCAAAATGTAGATGCGTTATCACCCGTGAGGACTAAGATGGAATGCCTCATTTCCAGTAAAAAGGGTCTCCGGCCACCTGCACTCACCAAGCGATACGCAGAGGTAAACCTCTACTTCACGCTGGTTTTCTGTAAGGTCGTGGTACCACCCCGATTGGAGCCGGCCCATCCGTGCGACAGCAAAAGCTGCCGCGTGGCTCTACCACTGTTTAAATATATACAAAACCACTGTTTAAATAATTTATACAAAAAACCTATAAATACACAATTTTTTTTTTTGATATCGTTCCGTGAGTATCTTAAGAGGGGACAGAGGTAACCAGGAAATGAGCAGCAGTGTCTTCCTAGTAACAACTTGAAAATAAAAAACTGCGGTTGTCAACCCGTCTGGCAAACATGGCCACTATGGCATAAATATCCCCCTTATGAGACAATCTATGAGAAGGCCTAAGTTTAGCAGTGGACGTTGATAGGCCGTAATTAATGAATGACCGAACATAGAAAAATTTCTTATAAATACCCACACACTCCTTAATACCCACCAGGGTTTCTGGTGGTAGTCTCAAGGCACTAAAACGGACAAATTACGAGTATCTTCAGCTAACGTTTATGCGATTACATCGAAGGGAGACTTGAATGCAGTATCAGAAACACAAGGATAATGTCTTGTTCTTATTAGACCTTAATATTAAGAAAATGTGCTTGCACGAATTCTGGCTCAATAAACAATGACTTTATAGTCCATATAAATATCTACTTTAAACATGTTAAAGAAAATTAGCTAAGATCCGCGTTATAAATAATTGATTTATTACGCGTAATAAGTAAATTATTAAACAGATCTTAGCTAATTATTTTCAACCTTTTTAATATTTATAAACAATTTATAATTCATTTATTACGCGTAATAAGTAAATTATTACGCGGATCTTAGCTAATAATTTTTTAATATTTTTAATATTTGTAAATAATTTATACGTTATAAATAATTGATTTATTACGCGTAATAAGTAAATTATTAAACAGATCTTAGCTAATTATTTTCAACCTTTTTAATATTTATGAACAATTTATAATTAATTTATTACGCGTAATAAGTAAATTATTACGCGGATCTTAGGGAATTATTTTTTTACCTATTTAATATAATAGATTTCCGTAGAGTAACGCATGATTCTATTAACTAAATAAAAACTTATTCCCATAGCATTAACATTATTCCTTTAGCGGCTAATATCCGATAGCGCTTTGGCTAAAGTTTAGCCAAAGCGCATTCGCCAAAGTTTTAAGACTTGCGTTAAAATTTAATTGTTGAATTTCTTTTGCAATTTCAATCTTTATCAGAAGTCTGTAAGGCTACTTAATACGCGATTCACGGTTACCTTTAAATACAAGTCTGGCAGATGGAAATTCAATTTGAAGGCAAAGAACGATACGAATTTTAAGTGTCGCTCGTAACTCACGCGGATGCTGGTGGGTCAAATCAAACGGTGTATTCAAGAGTTTTATAACAATATTTTATTTGTTACAATTAAGATTGTTTATTTATTTATTTTCTTTATTAAAGATAACAACCTTAAGCTATACATGAGAGCACAAAAAATTTGGAGAAATATTTTTTTTATTAATAAAATTAAAAACATACGCGAGCAACCTGGCTTTGATCGCCGTATTAGAGACACACAGACCACTGGCGGAGTGGCAAATCTGAGGAGAGTAGCCATACGCAGGTGTTCTCTTGTGTCAAAGTATAAGTCCACGCGGTCCTAGGCGTACAATATAACTACATAGTTACCAACCGCACTGTTCACTAGACTTTTAGTTGCGCGGCCTTAGACCATTCGGTTAAAAGGTCAAGGTAAACGGTTTTTTACTGCAAAAGGAGTTGTGCCACGTCAAATTTACAAAAAGATGGCGTCACCATTCATATGTAAGTAATTTTTAATAACATTATTGCCATTTACTTCTTTTTAAACCTCAAAGTTATAATAATAACGGTCGTGTTATTTCGGGTTTATAACACGCAGCTCGCCTTCATACAATATGCAGATCGGTCGAGCGACTGATCCGAGTCTGTATCCGAGTTGTCGCTGTCACCGAGTGATACCATAGACTTAGAATATACTTGAGCGGTACTATTATAATGTATGTGTGTGTGAAATTGTTAATTTATTGATTTGATTGTTAAGTGTGAGTTTTGTAGTGACCGACGATTGTTTCTGTGACCGCAGATTTCCCCCCGCAAATGACAGACAGCTCTGTATCGGGGAAAAAAGCTGTGGCTACTCCGCTCCGATCAGCCGGTGGCCCGTGTTGCTCTATGATCACCTCCAACACCAATGACACCAAGGGTTACGTACAAACTCATATGTAGATAGTTCATCCATAACGGGAATCAGGTCTCGATTTTTTTTCCGAGTATGTTTAATTATACTACAACATTGGTATCGTTAAGGCGAGAGTGAGACAATCGTTGTGCTCCTTCTTCGGCGTTATAGTACCTACAGCTAGCTACTTCCACCAAAATAATTAACATTTCCATGGACTTGGAGAAGGCTTATGACAGAGTAGACAGGGTTGTGTTATGGCAAACACTGAACTCATTTGGGTTAAGCGCTGGGTTGATACAGGCATTGAAGTCTCTGTATAGGGACTCTAGTGCTTGTGTCAGGATCAACGGGGCCTACTCGGACTGGTTTGGCATCCATAAAGGTGTCAGACAGGGCTGTGTGGCTTCCCCGTGGCTGTTCAACCTATTTATGGACAGTTGTTTGGAAAATTTGAAAGTAGAAGAATGCGGTTTAAGAATGGGTGAGTTAACCGTCAAATGCCTTTTGTACGCCGATGATCAAGTCATACTTGTGTCGTCGATGGCCGAGTTGCAAATGATGGTTATATTGATGAACAGGACATTAAAAGAAAAGGGAATATGTTAGTCCCTACTTTAATGTATGATAGTGAAAGTTGGGTGTGGCAGAAGAAGCACGAGAGTAGAATAAATGCTGTAGAAATGCGGTCATTAATAAGGATTATGTTAGGGATGAATCTGAATGACAGAGTGAGAAACTGTGTGATAAGAAAAGAGTGTGGTTTGCAAGATGATGTTGTGACTAGGATTAAGAAAGGAATGCTTCGGTGGTTTGGCCATGTAGAAAGAATGAATAAGGAAAGGGTGACAAAGCAAATTTATGTTGCAGAGGTGAACGGCAGATTCGGGAAGGGACGCCCTAGGCGTAAGTTTATCGACCAAATTGGCGATATATTGAAAATGGGCCAAATCAAGAGTACCTTTAACCGACGAGCGTGTATGCGTAGGTATATGGATGTGGAGGAAGCGAGAGAGGGGTGTCAGGATCGTGCCAAATGGAAGTCCATAGTAAAGACTATATTAAACTTTATTTTATTTTACTATCCGTAAAATAAAATAAATCTTTGTGTGTTGTGCTTATTGAGAGTGTTCCTGTAGGAAAATGAGCAGCTCGGAGGAGGTATCATGGATTTCATGGTTCTGCGGGCTGCGAGGTAACGAGTTCTTTTGCGAGGTGAGAATCT